GAAGGAAGATTAGCATTACTCTCTCTGCCCTGTCAATCAGAGTGAGACTAGCCAATTGTAGGCATCTGTGAGGTCATGTATGTGGAAGAGGGTAGATAGCACTTTCCTCCGAGTGTGTTACGCTGCCCTGTGAATAGCAGTTTGAAAAGATGCAGAGGCTTCATGTGTTTCAGAAGAACCATGTGCTAGCCTTTGTGGTTGGTAGCCGTTGTGTGGCAGGGGAGAGCTAATGGGTGATTATTGGCAAATGAACAACTTGTCCAAAACACGACAAAAAAAAAAAAAAAACAAGTCTGTGGTTTACGTAAAACCAACAACTGACACACTACTTAGCCAGCTATGTTATTCTTTTTAGGACATTCAGTTGTTTATTGCTAATTGATTAAAAAATAGCCACTAGTTTGAGATTGTCAGTCCAACCAGGAAGCTAGTTCCTAAACCAGTCATAGTTATGACATTTGATGACCCTGAGAGTTGTCCAGTACATGAAACGTGTCAATGTTAAAACAGTGTTCAATGATTCCTGATCTACAAGACCACAGGTTCTCAACCCTTGTCTTGGAGTACATACAAAGACAAACAGAGTAATATGTTGTCAGATACAGTAGCATGCACTAGTCCACAGGTTCTCAAAGCTGGTCCTACCCTCTGTTCTGCAGAGTTTAGTGTTTTCCCTGCTCCAAACACCCCTGAGTCAACTAATCAGCTAATAAACAGCCTTTCCTGAGTTGAGCAGGGAAAACACCAAAATTTGCAGGTCAGAATTTGAGGATAGGATCGGGGTTGGGAAACTTTGGATTATTCCATGGTACTGTACTCAACAGTATATTATTCTGTATGTCTTAAAGAGCAATTATAATGTTTTGTAGACCACAAACTCTGTGCCACATAAGCTTGTAGCCGTTGTGTGACAGGGGAGAGCCTTCTCTGACTATGGAGAGAGCACTCCCTGAGCATCAGCGCCATTATCACCCTCATCACGCTAATTCTTTATCACTGCTACATGTGTTCACAGCATATTAACGCTGTCTATTAAGGACTCAACAACTGAACAAAGAGCTGTGATGTCTGCTTGATTACTGACCCATCTTAGCAGTACATCATGAAAGATTTATTAGATTAACTTACTAAGGGATGAATGAATAATGAACTTGAGCTATTACTATTCTGTTATAGTACAGAGTATTCGCACATTTTCCACAGTTCTTGCTCTAGATTTGGCTAGGACATCAGACAATGCGGCAATTTCAATCCAATTATGAGTACGACGTCTACGAGTCAATGTCAAATGTGTAGAAGAAATTTTTAGCTAGATTTGCTGGTTAACCCAAGCATAAGTTTTCACCTGTATGAGGTTGATGCATAAAATATGAACTGAATAGAACCTATGAAACAGAAACTGTGGGAATAGTCTAACATGACCATATGTGGCCTGAGTGTTGGAGCTGATTGATTCATATGGGTTTCCACTCATGCCCTTTGAAACAACCTTGCCCCCCTTGCATATGAGAGAGAGAGAGAGAGAGAGAGAGAGAGAGAGAGAGAAGAAGAAGTGCTGTGAATGTGGGTATCGTCTTTCACTAGAGACACCTGCTTCTTCATCAAAAGTGGTTCTCATTCACGCACACACACCCATGTTTCCCAGCATCTCATCCATAATGCATGCCTCCTTATGCCCTCATCAGCTGTGCGCTGGCTGTAATCGATTCCATATTCTCCATTAGGACACGTAACACATATCCATACGTGGAGCTGTGTGAAGTCCTTCACATCTTGTAAAACGTGATACAGAACATCTATAAGGTTTTATTAGGAGTGTAGTGCAACACACCCAGTGAAAAATGGTGTGCAGTATTCGGAGTAGGATTATGTTGTAGATTCTTGGATTCTTGGAAGATGTTAGCCTACACATGCAACATTTTCTTTAAGCAGCGACAACATGTTTGTGTTTGTGTGTGTGTGTGTGTGTGTGTGTGTCTGTGTATAGGCATACCTCTTCGGCGTGTCCCTGAACAGGTATCCACTAATCTCTGCTCCATCGGGAATTACAGACGAGTCATGAAACAGAGCCTTATCCCGGATCTGCATCTGGAACAGGCCTTCATCACGTGTGGGTAACTTCTGCCCAAACACACCCAGCACCGACGACAACAACAGCACTGCGAAGCAGCCAAACACTCGCCTCATCCTGCTACAGAGAGAAAGAGAGAAAGAGAAAAAAAACATGAGTGTACTAGACCATAAAGCATGACTGCAATGAGTGTGACAGACTTACTGTCAATATGTATCTCTAGTACAGTTGTGCAATGTGTTAAAAGCTATCAGTTGTGACGACTTTCATGACCTTACCACTAACTACAAGTGCAACATTCCTGTTTTTACGATGTACATGAATGCAACACAGAAATGATTTATGATTTATGTTATTTCATAAACATAATGCCCATTTTGTAAATCCATAAATTTGCTAATCATTATTTAAACATTCAGGTTGTACTTCACATCTCACAATCAAATTTTTCTTTCTTTTTTTTTTTTTTTCAAATTGCAGAATTTTTCATTTCAGTTCTGCTCCCTTAGTTCTTTGGAGCCACTTGAAATGGCTTGCATTTATATATTATTGTGAGTTTTTTTTCTGTCAAAACTTTCAAGTCGTTGACCAGTGATTAGCAAATGCAGCAAGAACGTTGCATGAGTTGCATGAATTAAGACTCAGCTGTGGCTTCAACATGAGGATTATATCTCCCAAAAATTAAAACAATAATATGTCTTACAAATTATTGTCTTGCTTACGAAAGTAATTATGAATTTAAGATCGAATGAAATTAAATCTCAGCGTTCCATTTACTCCAATTATTTTGGATAGGAAAATAACTCCATGAAAATAACCCAACAAATAAAATTCACTTCCAGGATAGCTGTATTGATTCAGTCTGCATCAGTGTCTCTTTAATTTCGACATACATACTCCAGGAGCAGCTTGTACACAACCCTGCTTAATCATTCTCATTCATCATACGCAGAATTGAACTTGATATTTCTGCACTGATGCAAAGTCGCAAATTGAAAACCGGTTTATCGACTAATTATCACTTCCCATGTTACATAACAGTGTTGACAGCCAACACCGGATCTGCAACCGGACTATAGTCACTGGCGGTGCAACTCACACGCACACAGATGTGAAGCACATGTGCTTGTTTGTATTTGTTCTGGAGCGTTTCAGCCGTCCGGACTTGTTCATTTGTCATGTCGGTTCATTATTTCCTGGTCTCTAAAGCCAGTCCTGTGAAATTTAAAGCTGTGCGTGCTTGAGGGAAGTCTGTTGAGTTAAAGATCTTATCATTGCAATAATACAACGGGTTTTTAAGGTTCAGAAAATATTTGTCAAAATTTGCTTTTTATAGCATAATTCAATCCCAAACTCCATAAATCAGCAGTCTTGTTAATCTAAAAGCAAAGCCATGTGGGAAAAAATGTTAACGTTCCAGGTGAGTCATCCATTCTGCAGCAGCATTATCTGTGAGAAATGTACCAAGTGAGAGGGATTTAATTGAATTAACTTCATAACTTTTTACGAGTTCACTCCTGACTTTCCAATGACACGAATCTCAGCTGTAGGATCATGTTTGCTTCTGAGGGGGCGGTAGATTGTTTCTTTTAAATCTCAGTTATTCTTTTTCTACTCCTTTTTAATGTTACACAGCATGTAAAGCAACATTGGTTGTTAGAAAGGCGCTAGACAAATTGAACAAACAAACAGATGCGTAATTCTGTGATAAAAATAAGTGTTCGATAAAATTTACCCTTTTTTTGTAATGGTCAAGGTTGTGGAAACAGGTGGCTAATACTGGTATCATTTATCTGGTTAAGACTAAAACTGATATGAGACTAGCTTATGTCAGTGTCCACTTTATTCCCTCATTACCCAGCATGCAGTGCTGCTCTGTGTCCCACCCCTCTCGCTCAGATCCTATCCTCTGTCTATTGATTGGGCCCCACTGATCGAAGCTGATGGCTAACCCCGATCCCTGCTGATATAATCAGGCTAATGATGGCAGATTAGCCCGATACTTTACTGCCTTCTTTACTGCAGCTGGAACGAGTGGGTGTCCTTTTAATGACCTCTCTTCCACCCTCCTCCCTCTCATGCTCTCTCTCTTTCTCTCACCACATCTCTCTTCATTCATTCTCTGTCTCTCTGGGGTTTTTTTTTCTCCTCATTCTCTTGTCTTTTACCACCTCCCCGTCTTTTATTCCATGTATAAAAGTCTTTCTCTTTAAAAGTCAAATTCTCTTAAACATTTTTTTCTTTTCTTTTTTGTTTCTCATGGATTGCTTAAATTTACACAAACATTCTTTCTGTTCTTCAACACTCTCCCAGACGTTTGGTTTGTCACTGTTGGGTATTAGTCAGGTTTAGACCTGAAACATTAAAGGCTTTAGGTTTTGAAGGAAAGGTTCTCTGGCAGACAAAATATCACTGCAATCAAAATACATTCACTTCATTAATGAAACTAGGGTTGTGGTATTTACAGCAAATTGGATCGTTTTTGGCAAACAAGGATAAAGCATAAGTGCAGAAAAGGTATCCACAATGTACAGAATCATTTCTGTTTTGAGATATACTGCATAGATTGGGAACAGGAAAAAAGGGATTATGACGTGTATAATGGTCATATCAAGTGATGATAAACAGGTGTATTACAGATCAGAAATTTCCGAACTTGTTTTCCATGCAAAGACTGAGAAAAAGAAGAATGTGTCTCCCTTTCCAATGCCCAAACTGTTTGGGCTAGTTTGAGAGGTTTTTTTTTGCAAATAAAAAAATGGGCTGGAATTTTTACTGAGACCTGGCAGCCCTGACTGAAACTAAGTATCCAAAGAAATCTTAATTTTACATTCACCAGCAAGTAACTAAATAAATCAGTCAGTGGCTTTATTAGCAAAATAAGCAACTTGATAAGACTAACAATTGGTGGACACAATGGTTAACAATGGTTCGGATGGCCAAGTGATTAAGGTGTTGGACTTAAGATCCAATAGATGTATGTCTGTGTGGGTTCAAACTCTGCTCCTGGTAACCTCTTTTAATGAGTAGTGGTGATCCTAAGTTAAGGTACCCAGTTCATGATTGGAAGACTGAGATCAATTCCCAAGGGAATCCCTGTAGGACCAATAAGTAAGGTCTGTAACCATCAGCTATATGTATGGATTATATCTTGTTTCACTTATGAGTCATGTCGGATACAAAAAATGCAAATGTAAGCCCTTTGCTCTTGCCCCTACAACCTACCTTCTAATGTAACAGAGTGGAAAAGCAAGTACACTAAGTTTTTGCATCCACAGTATCAGATTCTGGCGGTGTCACAGATTCTTTTATGTTGTACTTCTAGGACATAAGACACTCAGATTTGGTAGAGATATGGAATCCTGTATTCTTTAAAGTTCTTGTTGTAGGACAATCAAACTGATTCTGGCAATGTCATACTAGGATTCTGTTATATTGGTAGAGGTATGGAACACGACAAACTGAATCAGACAATTCAGTCTGATCTGGCTTCTTTTGCGTTCTAGTTCTAGAATACTCATCAGACAGACAGAGGCAATGTCAAAGAATATTCATACATTAAATCAGGAGTTATGGAATTTTGTCTTCTTTTACGTTCTAGTTCTAGACCACTCATCAGACAGATTCTGGCGATGTCACAGAACGTGAGAACATTAAACCAGGATTCCATCAGATTCCCTGGATGCAGTCGCCTTTCCCACAATGGATGGCATTCTCTTGCTAAAATTAAACTTCAAAACAACTCCATCTGGAACAAATAATGCTAAATGTTTAATTAGAGCCAGGAAGAATGTCTGATCATAATTTGTGAGTGGATAATTTGAAGGCAGAGCCAACCACAATCGTGTCAACCTTGTTTTGCTGCTTTTATATATATATATATATATATATATATATATATATATATATATATATATATATATATATATATATATATATATATGTGTGTGTGTGTGTGTGTGTGTGTATATATTGCTGGAACAAGAAATTTCTGTAACTGGTGGGTCATATAGAAAATAAGATGCGTGACAAACAGAGCGTGTGTGTGTGTGTGTGTGTGTGTTTGTGTGTGTCTGTGTTACGAGGCTGGCTGGAGGTTAAGAGAGGATAATTCTAAACAGCTTAACTCTTTGAGCACAGTAATGGTCCATAGTGTTTGTATGACCGTCACTTAATCCCTTTTAATCACTTACATAAAAGCCAAATTGAAATAAAAATGTCAATCCCACAACCTTTTCTCTGAACTCACTGCAACCATCAAAGAGAACAAGCATACAGATTACAATTACTCCTAACCAGCTGCTCAAAAAACGAGCTAACGATGGGAAAATGACTGATTGGTTTCCATTGCTAATAGTGTGATTTTCAACCATTAAGTCACATTTAAATATTTTCCTAAAAATAGGGTTTAAAATGACCATGTGCAAATGGTCAAAGCAATAAGCACACACAATCAGTCATTAATTAATTGTGCTCGTTTGGAAAATGTGTGATCCATCACTGGGCGGATGAAAGAGCTCAATCAGCTCAGACTGATAATGTCTTTCATCAATCACTCGGGGAGTTGATTGATCTGTGAGTGGTGTTAATGTGCAGTAAATCGTCTTTTAAGTACAATCGGCTAAGTGTAGCTATTCACTGGAGACTTTGGTTATTCCTCGCAGGTTGTCAAGACATACACATACACACACAGATGAGCAGCACATGTAGGAAACATGCACAGGAGCGGCACCAACAGTGTTGAAGCACATGGGCATTTCCACATGCCAATCAAACTCCAGTGGTGCTGCCCACAAATGCCAAAAAAGCCGTCGTTACTCACATGTGTGTGTGTGTGTTATTCATACTGACTATTGTGGAAATTCACAGCTCAGGGTGTGTGTTCTGATGCACACAACACACACAGATGCACTGGCAGTGGGGCGGAAAAGAAAAAAATAGAGGAGAGCAACTTGGCGTCAAAACTTGGCATTAAGTCAATATTTTTCTACAACACTGATCACAATCTACACTTTGGAATGTGTGCAGGAAAATATTACAACGCCATAGCACACACAAATCCAGGAGATATGGAGGGACAAAAATGAACAGAGTTTGGGGTTTATCCAGCATTCCGAGACTATGGTGCTTAAAATTCCTTCCGGTATCTAAATTACAAATCTGGACAATAACATTTATCATTATTGCTACGCTGGAACGCGACAGGACTCAAAAGATGGCAAGGGAACAGCAACAGCTACTCCCATTCTCTCACTTAAGAGCTCTGGACCTAATTTCAATTTAACTGCCAAACCAAAGCGACACCACTCCGCCTGGGCAGCCAAATCACACACACACACACACACACTAGCTAGAGAGAATGATGGCTAACGCTAAGCTCCAGAGACACCACTGGAACGCCGTGCTGCCAGGCTCTCGTCCTTCTTGGCCAGCGCTCAGGACGGCGTTTCGCAGAAGCTAAACTTAGAGAGAGTTTGGTGAAGTTTGTTACATGACTGTTTACACTAGGCTCACACAGAGAATGCCATTAGTGTGTAAGCCTAAAACAACACAGGGCTGCCGAGTACGGCACAAGGCGCTGCACTGCAAGCCACAGATCTTCATGGTTGTTCGCATGTATGTGTCCAGAGTGAAGTTTTACCCAGATGATGATCTAGTTTTTTTGCACCATCAGATAAAATCTTGAAAGACTGTGGCATACAATCTCAGGGAAAATAGTACCAAAGTGTCACTGGGATGGTTCTCTCAAGGGTACATCTTTTTTTTTTTCACCTTTAATATTCATCTTTCACCTGGAAAAGTGGACATAGTTTACATTGAAAATTAATTTAAGATACATAAATAAGCCAGAATTAGTTTTTTAGATTAATGCTTTTAGGGTAGACTAAATGCTTCTTTCTAGGTAAAAGGTATATACTAAAGGTACAAAAGGGGCACCCTTGAAGGTACCATCAGACAAGGAAAGGTACAGTTTAGTACGCTTTTTCTAAAACTGTACAGTTCAGAGTGACTTTCCAAAATGATCTACTTATATAGAATCAGGTGGAATAAAAGAACTCCGATCTAAGGTATCATCAGTAGCTCAGTAATTGCAGTGCTATTATTAGGGATGCACCAGTCCCACTTTTCCATTTTTAATACGATACCAATATCAGATCTCCAAGCATCAGCCGATACCCGATACAGATCCAACACTGACATCCTCGCAGTAAGTATCGGTTGCCAAGTTATTTGATCACAGGCAGGTTGGTGCCCTGCTGTAAGACAAGCTGTGTCCTTATTGTCACACACATTCACAGCATAAAATTCATCAGTGGATCAGATCCAATACCAATCCAGAGTATTAGACCGCTATGTACCGATATGGATACTCAGTACTGAATGGGTGCATCTTTAACTTTTCTCATTGATGTGCACAATAGTATGGATGGAAAAATTATTTGTAAGTCGGTTCTAAGTGAGTCAGATTGAGAGAGGCGAGATAAGACGTGTGAACAACTGTAGCTCAGTGCTTAAGGTTATGGTCCAGTGACCCCAAGGTTATGAGTCAAGAGACTCTCTTGGCCATGAAGAGGGAAGAGATCGATGTCTATCGATGACTCCAACAAAACCAAGTTTTAAAATGAGGCAAAATGGCCAGTTCCATCAAAAACATGTGCACTTCTCTATCATCAAACCTAAAAAGCGCGAACAAATGTTGGAATCCAGTCAATCATGCTTTTGTTTCAAAGTGTGGGAGAGAGAGAGAGAGATCTGTTCTAGCTTTTCAGTCTGCGTTCTCAAAATCCTGCCAAGCTTCAGTTCTGCATAAGTCAGCATTTCCCTGCTCTAAATTAGGTCTTAGTCACTTCAGCCTCAAGTGAAATCCTGCTGCACATCACCATATCAAGACCAAGGTGACAAGAAGGCACAGTGGGAATCCGGTCCATGGCCGCCTTTTCCGTGTTTCCACCCAGAGAGCACAGAGGCACCGTTCAGAGGGTGTGTGAGCAGTGTGTGAGAACCGTAAGCTGAGCTGTTTGTATGGAACCCGCTGGGAAAGAGCATTCCGGAGGGAATATTCAGCGGCGTTACGGGCTGAACAGGTATGGAAATGAGGGGGTACCAGTGTGAAAAGAAGCAAGTGGGAAACCCCTGATTCTGTACCTATAGAACTTGACACGGAGACCTGGGGAGCAGCGCGACCCAAACAGCGACCCAAACAGGCGCTGCATACCGACGGCGTCCTGTCACACTTGCCGGACACACACACACACACACGGCCGTTGCAACAGTGGCGGGATTCTTTCTGCGCAGCAGTTTTCATATGCAAATGGAGGGTTTAGATACGCTATGTGACACAGGCCTTGCCCATTTTCACACTTTTGTTCCACTTTTCATTGCCTCTCTGAGAAAGAGCATGGAAGAGAGAGAGAGAGAGGGAGAGAAAGAAAGAAAGAGAGAGAGAATGCGGGAACAATGACTTGGCCTCGCTGTTAAATACACTTATTCAAATCCTCTCCTCTCTGTCTGCTTTTCTTTAAGGAGTGAACAGAAAATATCACTTTTACCAGGGCAGGTCAGGCAGGCAAATAAATCATTTGAATAGTAATAGTTAATTAATTATTCCAGTAGTACTAACAGCAAACTAAAAACAAATAATAGACAAATTGGCAAGTAACTGATTTTTTTTTTCTCCATTAAATACACTAAACAAAAATTAACAAAAATTAAGCCAAATTCTCAAAAGATGTGATCTTAATTAGCCATTGTGTTGGTTGGTAGAGATTATAGAAGTTAAGGTTTGAGCTGGGTTAGACTGTCAGAAATAAAGAGGACACTGTGTATTTTTGATTTCCGAGAGACAAAAAAGAAAGAAAGAAAAAAACCAAATATAAATGTATCATCAACAGTACAGTAGTTGTTCTTAGGTTCCTTTTATATACCTTGATGAGGTTCCTCTACAATTGTCTGTCTCTAACATGGTATTATGGTTACCACCACAGTGACTGAACATAAACCCATATTTTAGT